GAAAGTGTTAGCTGATATGTTATGGTCACCAGAGCAGTACTGCTTATAATTTTGTGTGTGTGTGTGTGTGTGTGTGTGTGTGTCCGTCCGTCCGTCCGTCCGTCCGTCTGGCCTCTGATGAAGGTGAAGGGACTCATAAGTGTTTGAGTGGTGATGCTTAGCGGTGTGTATATATATGATAGTGGTATATATATATATATATATATATATATATATATATATATATGATACAGGGAAATTATATAATTTTATATAAATTCATTTATAAATTTTTATATATTTATATAAATTTTATATAAATATATATTATATATGATGCAGGGGAATTATATATATATGATGCAGGGAAATGATCTATAATTTTATATAAATTTTTATATATTTTATATAAACTTATATAAGATGCAGGGAAATTACATATATATATATATGATGCAGGGAAATGATCTATAATTTTATATAAATTTTTATATATTTTATATAAACTTATATAAGATGCAGGGAAATTACATATATATATATATGATGCAGGGAAATTAGATTTTGAGCAACAGTCCTTAGAACAGGAATACAGTAGGCACTCCTATTTGCAGACTTGTGTGTTTATGCTATCTGAAGTAATAGTGTTAATGTCATTAGAGGATGCATGCAGACTATATGTAGACATCATGCCATTTTGTGGCAGAGACTGGAGCATCTCACATTTTGTTATCTCTGAGGAGTTCCAGAATCAAACTCTTGGAGATACTAAGAGAGGATAACAGTTGTTTGTTGTAATATGCAAACATAAACAATGATTGCTCACTAAATGCTTGTTGAGAGAATATAATTAATAACAGATCTCTGTCTGTGATGGGTCCTTGATTTATAGATAGATTTCTGTTCCTGAAGCTTGTCTGAACATACACACACACAAAAGAAGGATTTACCGTGTTCAGTACCCAAGATGACTTGAAAAACTTGAAATGGAATATTTACATGTTCTTTTCAACCTATTGCAACCAAAATATTTCTATAGAAAACTGTCCAGTATTTGTGTTACCCAGGAATCCATTTTCACTCATTATACATTAGCAATAATGTCAGGATTTTGCACCTTTGTTTGTAAGGGTGGTGAAGATGGTATTGATATAGTTCCAGGCTGTTGGTGCTGATTGCTATAGACTCAATGACACAGGTACAGTGATACCCAATTGACAGTGAGGTGTGAAGAATAGGAAATAGCCATCTGCTTGTAGCCATTGCAAATCTTTGGACAGCCTTCATTCCCTAGCCTCTACTTAATATGAGCCTGTTATCTGCTTGTTTGTTCCCTAGCTCCCCATCTCCCCATCATGTGTTTCTCTGTCCTAGAAGCAAGCACATAGATTAGCTATGTGAGTCTGGTGACCTGAAGTCAGTCCCTGGAACCCATGTGAAGATAAAAAGAGAACAAACCCAATAAAGTTGTCCATTGACGTCCATGTGTGCATCATGACATACATGTGTCCCTCCATCATCCACATACACATTATGCATGTACAAATGTATAGGAAAATATTTTAAAAGAAAAAAAAGGACAAGGCTGTTGGTACCGTTTTGGGAATCATATTCATGGCTTCCTTTTCTAATAAAATGTATTGGGGAAACCCCACCCTTCTCCTTTATTGTTCTAATTATTTACTTAATGTTTTTAGATAGGGCCTCATTATGTTATTTCTGACTGGCTGGGTACTAACTATGGAGACCAGGATGGCCAAATCTTCCTGCCTCTGCCTCCCAAGTGCTGGGATAAAAGTCGTCCTTCACCACAGTCAGCTCCCATGTTCTTCTTAGAAATTATTGAAAAAGAAAGACTCAGATAACAGTGATGGATTTTTTTTTTCTTATATTACCAATAACTAAAGGCTAATTTATCTGCATTTAAAGTAAATAAAACCTTTGTGTAGGATTTTGGCCCAGGTTTTTCTATTTAATTCTTAAAGAAGTTTAAAAATAACTTGTTCTACAGACCATATAGCTCCATAATGAATAACAGTGAGTTTATTACATTTATTTATGTAAGTGTGAAAGTGCTGTATTTCATGTGCTATGCTTTTAAAGATTCGTAATTAGACATAATTCTGAGTTACAAGAGGAGATATGAAATGTAAACATCTACTTTTAGATTAAATAACACTTCACATTATTTAGAAACTATTTTTGTCTTTTGAAATTTGCTACATCTTTGAAGGAAACCCAGATTCTTACATTAACTTTTCCCCCAACCTAGGAGTCAGAGATGGAAACAGAAGAAGAAGTTGATATTTTAATGAGCAGTGATATTTATTCTGCAACTTTATCAACCAAATCGATTTCTTTCACACGTGCCCAAACTGGATGGCTTTTTCGGGAAGATAAAACAGTATGTAAAAATATAGATTTTTTTTTAACTTAAAAAATTGGTGTCCTACCAAAATAATGATGGAAATACAGGAATTTAGCTGTTCTTTAGCTGATCTTTCCTCTTTCTTGAATTCACATAGGTAGTTAGAATTTGTAGTTACATAGTTTGCGTGTATGTTTTGGGAAATCCCAGAGAGAAAGTGTACTTCATTTGAACTCTTGTTGTCTGCCTTCCTCATAAGGAGGAATTTGCACACGGTTCCATTCTAGTGCTTTGTGTGGAAGAGGCCTGTGGAGTGATGCACACTTGAATTTATTTCGCTGGGTCTTTTCCTCCTACTTTAGAGCTCCTGTGCCTTATTTATTTATTTATTTATTTGTTTGTTTGTTTGTTTGTTTGTTTATTTTTTAAATTACACTCATGATATTAATCACATTTGTGGTATTCTTAGATTACATTCGCAGTATTCATTCAATTATATATATATTTAATTTTAAATGTTGATTGTCATTTCTTGAAGGGGGTAGGAGGTCTTAATTACAGGCTTACATCACAATGGGAGGATCCTGGAGGGCAGAAGTTCGCTACTGATGCTTTGCAATCTTGCATCTAAGCTCTTAACGCCCATTATTCAGGATACACAGACAAAGAACTTCCCTTAAGCATTCAGGAGGGTAGAACCTGGCTGGGAATTAGCATTGGGAGAATATCAAGGTCAAGGTCTGCAAGCAAGGCAATAGTTACCCAAAATGGGGGCCAGGGCCCTGCAGGTCCCCCTTTTATTAAAAAATGGAGCTCCTGTGTCTTATATCTGCTCATATTAAGCCTACATCTTTACAAAAAAACTGGTGAATATAAATCTCAGTGGAAGTTTCTATAATTCCCATCACATCTGTCAGTAAGAGGCAACATAAGACTAACTAAAATTATGCTAAGACTGTTTCACCTGGGATGGCCTATATGGAATGTTGAGCCTGTGGTATTCAGGTTTGAAATTGGCCTGAGTCATATAATTTTGAATGAAATGAATAATGAAACATTTTAATAAATGCATAATTACTTATAAATTAATAAAATAAATAACTATAAATTTAACAATAAGAACCGCATCAGGTAAGGGGCGAAGATTTAATTTTTTTCAGTTACATTTTATTGAACATAAGTAAGTGTTTTTACGTTGGAAAAACAAACCTTGTATTCACTTAAAACTGTAACTCAGTTACAGGAGATAGCAATGAAGGCTGTTGGTAATGAATTAGGTAATATATGAGAGAAAAGGGAAGAAAAAGGAGAGGTGGGCATGGGGGTTGGCTTTCTTGCTTTAAGGGATTGGCTTGCATGCTTATGGGAGTTTGCAGTTTTGAACTGTTATAGCAGGCTGTATGTTGAGGGGAGAGTTGGTACCATTTGGAGTCAGAAATCTGCGGCTAGAATATCAGGATTTTTGTGTTGCAGTTTTGAAGAAGAATTGCTTTTTCTTCTAGAATCCTTAGTGTTTTCTGTTAAGGCTCAGGGGATTGAATGAAACCCACACAGTTTACAGAGGGAAATCTATTTTTCCAAAGCCTGTTAATTCAGTGTTAATTATATTAAGATTTGCCACCACAGCAGCATGTTGACGATCACAAAATTATATACCATACAGCCTTACATATGAAGCCAGAAGACTCCAGTGACCACTGTCTATAATCCTGGAACTACTGCAGTCCTTTTTAGCATTTTTCACACATAAATATGTATCTGTAAATAAGGTGTAGTGTTTTGTACTGATACGCTTTAATACAGTGGTGTCTAAGGCTTTGGAACTGCCTGTTTCATGAGTGTGGCGGGGGGAGCCTCTATTCCTCACATAAGTGCTGCTTATTTCTGTTAGCAGCTTGCATGTTACATAGTAAGTGTGCTACAGCTTTTTTCTGCAGCCTTAGTGTTGGCACACACTTCTGCCATTTCCTCCATTGTTACTGAATTCATTCATCTTCCACATGCCTTTGCAGTGTACAGTACAGGCAGCAAGAATGATATAGCATGATACAGCAGTGGCTGGGTCATGAGCAGCACACACTTGAGATTTTTGTTGATAGGATAGTTTATATTTGATAAATGCTGCTTGTTTATGGTCACAAGACCTCTTAATTACCTCACAGACACACATAAGGTCTACCCCTGAACCCTCAAAGCCTATTTGGCAACAGTTGGCACTTAGGACTCCAGGCTGTGGGTCCAGTATTGCAGTGCATTTGTTGCTTTGAAGTCTTACTTGTCTGTGCTCTGTTCTTCTGGACAGCATTAGACGGATCACTTCAAGAGAAGATAAAAATTGAAACTGCTGTCCACCTAGTGTTACCACTAAGCAGCCAAAAGCTCTTGAACAGCGGCTAGGTGACCTTCTTAAATCTTTGACAGGTAAGGAGGGAGTCAGTATGCCATGGTTCCCATTTTGTAGGTAGAAACGGGTGCAAAATGTTTGGCTTCCTGGTGACCTTTAAGGAGGTACAAAAGCACTGGAAATGTGCTGTACACATAGTTTTGAAATGCTAGGGCACAGCAAGGTAGAGTAGTCAACCTGGACACAGGTGGAAATGGGAAGCTGAGTCAAGTAAGTTCATAATAAGAAGATAGTTTTATAAGGATCTGTGTGAAAGTTGGAGGTGCAGGTCAGCGTCAGATGATAATTGAGACTTCACTGGAAAGAACTGCCCGCTTTCTTCTTGCTGCCTTTTTGGTCACTTGAGTTTCTGTGCCTGCATCTATAATTTAAATATTTACATGTATTAGTGAGCAAGGCTACTCGTTTTCTTTCTTTCTTTTTTTTTTTAAAGCAGTGAGTAGCAATAACTTGAAGTTTTATCTTGTCAGAGATCAGAAGGTCCAGTGTGGCTTGGACTGTGGATTTTAATTCTGCTTTTCTATCTATAAAATGGGAACAGTGTTACCCCTGACCCCTCCTTGTTACTCAAATTTGACTGTTTAATAAGGTTCTTAGATTGTTTTGTGCTACTTGGGAATAGGTAGTAAAAGAATACCAATCGAGTTTCTGTTTAGATGCCTAATTTGCAGGTTAATTAGCATACATCTTTTGTACTTTAAATTTCCCTTTGTAGTTTAGAAATGAATGATAGTATACCTACCTTCTAAAAATATTTGATCATTTCACATATTAACAGAATATTTTCACCTACATGGTGCATGTTTATGGAGAACTTTATGATCTCAACGCTTTTTAAAAATCTGAGATCAGCCTTCTTTTAAACTGTCATTTTGGAATATTTGATTTTGTTTTAGGAAAGAGTAGGAAACTTTTTGGCAGACTTTTATCTGGTGAATGGACTTGTTCTAGAATCAAGGAAAAGAAGAGAACACCTCAGTGAGGAGGACATTCTGCGGAATAAGGCCATCATGGAGAGCCTGAGCAAAGGTGGGAGCCTGACGGAGCAGAACTTTGAGGTGCGCTTCTATTAACTCTGCCAACCTGTAAATCTTCATTGTCTTTGTTTATTAAGAATAAAGAGTGGGCGGAGACCTTTGGTATTTTTTGAGTCTGTACTAGGTCTTTGAGGTTTCATTAGTCATTAGATTAAAGTCATCTTGTAAACATGAAACCTGGTATTCATTTTTATTCCATATTGTGCCACCTGCTGCCTTTAAGACCTAGCTGAAGGTTCACGCGCTTCATAGGTCATCTCTAGCCTGTGCAGTCAGGGAACTATGGATTGAGTCTCTGCTTATTATTGAAACACTGTGTGCAATGAGTGTGGGGTCAGGAAGGATCGGGAAAAGGAAAGTAGGAAGTGAGAAGATAAATGAAAAAATGGGATTGTTCTACCACCTGATTTCTAAAATGAACTGGATATTGCTCTTTTTTTAAAATGTTACTGTGTATGTGTGTGTACACATCATGTGAGGCCAAGTGCCCAGAGAGGCCAGAAGTGTGTATCAGATCTTCTGGGACTAGAGTTACATGTGGTTGTGATCTGTGTGATAGGGGTCCTGGGATCCAAACTTGGGTCCTCTGAAAGACCAGCAAGTGCTTCTGACCACTGAGCCATTTCTTCTAGGTTCTTAAATTTTATTTTCTTCAAGTTATTTCCTCTATCAATATCCCCAGATGTTAACTTGCTCTCTGTACAGGAAAATTTTCAAGTATCAGAATAGGGATTCTTGAGAGAGAATGGAATTAGTCCAGAAGATCATGGCCACTTTCTTTTTAAACTAGTATCTAAATAAAACGGATTAAAAGCAACCAAGGCACGCCTCGCATAGTGACAGTCATTGCTACTCTGTGAAGCAGCAGTCTTAGGACTGTGACTATGTTTGTAGGCCCACATATATGTGTGACTGCTAGGGCTACAGTCTAGGAGAGCAAAATGATGAGATTTCCTTAGAATTAGTGTGACAGGCCTTACTTAAAAATGGATTTTGTTCTGTTTAATATTGGGGATGAATACATGGAACATTATCAAACAGAAGAAATTCATGGACTGTTTGACCATTAGCTTTGATGAGCTGATCGGTGCATAAATGTATATAAAAAACAATATGGGCATTAAGTCTACAGACTCAATTGATGCCTATTCAAATGTAGACTACTTGATTTTCATACAGTTACATGAATTGTATTCTAATGTATTTGAATTGTTAATGGTTTCTTTAAATGACATTTTAAGCAGCTGTAATTTTTCAAACAAATTAAAATAGGGTTTATTGGATGTAGCTATAGAATAGAACAGAATAATATGCATGAAGTATATAAGCTCTCAGCTTTAGTCAGAAATTAAAGGAAACTCTTATGAACTATGGGCTTATTTTGGCTCTGGCATGGTGGGGCAGATTTTGACTTCATTTCTGGTGCTGGGAGTGTCTGCTTAAGGCTGTTCACCACAGATCACCATGGGACAGGAAAAACACAGTTTTGTTTTTTTTATTTTTGAGACAGGATCTTCTGTTTCTTCTAAGCAGGCCCCAGATTTCTGATCCTCCTGCCTTAGCTTTGTGGCTATACACACCAAACCCAGTTATGAACCTTGTGATTCTTGGTGAATATTTAAGTTTAGTTTGTCATTTTTTAAATATATGTGTATGGGGGGCTTTTGATGATTATGACATTGAATTAATAAATCCATTGCTACATAAAAATTTATTTGAATTTTTGTTTATGTTTATATGTATGTGTTGCTGGGTCTAGAACTTGGGGCTTTGTTTATATCACAGCTTTTGGCTAACCCCAGCTATCAGCTCCTTTTCCATTATCTGGCTTCTTTGTGACAGCTCCTCTTTTCTATAGGCTTTCATAAAGGGTGGATCCTCTGTTCAAATCCATTCTTTCTACAGCACATCCATTGCTACTTTGGAACAGGGATCTGTGGCTTTTCCGGGCATTTGTAAAGTCTGTAGCAGGCTGCTGCAACAAGCCACAGTTGACCAATCCCAGTCAGTGGGATATATCCCTTTGACCAGGGACATACTAATAATAGAAAGATGTAGTTGGAAGTTTTCCTGTATCCCAGCTGGCCGGCAGTTGGGACAAATCTCTCACCTACAATCCCGCAGCTTTTTATCAAATAATCACACAGAGGCTTAAATTATTTATTACTGCTTGCCTGTTAGCTCAGGCTTATTACTGACTGGCTCCTACACTTGAATTAACCCGTAATTCTTATCTATGTTTAGCCATGTGGATTGGTACCTTTTCTCAGTTCTGCTTTGACATCTTGCTTTCTCTGTGTCTGGTTGGGCCTTCCTCTTCCCACAATTCTCCTTGTCTGCTTATCTCACCTATAGAAAGAGGGGGGCGGGGGAGGTGGGCCAGGTGGCTCATGCCTGTAATCCCAGCTCTTGGGAGGTGAAGGATCCGGAGTTCAGGATCTTGGGTACATAGTGAACTAGAGGCCAGCTTGGGCTACCTGAGACCCTATCTTTAAAACAACTCAGAACAAAACTCCCTCCCTTCTCTGATCAGGCTGTAGTGGTGTTACTTTTGGCTGTCATTCACCTTATTTCTCCCTAGCAGTTTTCAGTTTGCACTGCTTCTCCCTAGTTTACTTCCTATTGCTGGCTCATCCTACAGTGATCTAAACTCATATTTAACAGACATTGAAATCTGACCTTAAAGATAGTTAACAGGTAATTCCTTGCGTTATCTCTCCTTTTCCTGTTTCCTACCATAGTTGAAATAAATATATTGATTCATATTTTTCACTGTAATTCTCCTTGCTTTAAAAACGTTATTATAAGCCAGGCAGTGGTGGAGCATGCCTTTAATTTCAGCACTCGGGAGGCAGAGGCATGCAGATCTCTGAATTGGAGGCTAGCCTGGTCTACAGAGTGAGTTTTAGGACAAGTGGGGCTATATTGAGAGACCCCCATCTCAAAAAACAAAACTGAGAAGATGGAAGCCTCCACAGGTCTGTAGAGCTGTTTTCTGTGGTTTCATTTGACCTGAAATCATTTTTTGAGCCGACATAGTGCTGTGTACTTGTAACTCAGGCACTTGGGAGACTGTTGCTGGAGGCTTCTTTGAGCCCAGGAGTTTTGGGTTGTGGGAAACCTGTAGGAAAATTCAGCCCTGTGCCCTCACCTAGGCAGTATGAATAGACTCAGTCTAGTATTTTTTCTCCCTCTCTTTGAGACAGTCTTATGTAGTTCAGGATGGCCTTGAACTTACTGTGTAGTAGAGGATGACCTTAAACCTCATGCTCCCATTTCCCAGGCATCTGTGCCATCTCCAGTGACTATCCCTGAACTGTTCATTGATAGTTTTTTTCTTCTGTTGCTTTAGATTTTTTGAAGCCAGTATGCTTGCATCTGTCTGTGCTTCTGTATCTAGCGTAATGCCTGGAAGATTTTAGATACCTGAAACAGTGAAGAAGAGATAATGTTAGCTTGATACTAATATTAATAAATATTTGTGTTAATGCTTAAATTGCCATGGGATTATCCTCATTAAGTGTTACATAGAAGAGGCTAAGTGGACCAGTACTTAGTTTGCTGTTCTGTTACACATGCTAACATGCTGTCACTAAATATCCCAACCCCAGTTGATTATCTTGTGAGGCAGTTTTGTCTGGATCCAGTGTGTCCAAACCCTTGACATCTCACTTAATTTGGAAAGCACACAAACAGCAAAGCAGCACAGAGTTTTATTTAGAGACAGTAACAGAGACTGCAAAGGAGCAAACCGGCCTACTTGAGCTAGAGCACGCAGGAGCCACAGATAGTGTATGGGGTTTCCTTTTATGGTGTCTGGGAAGAGGGGGAATTGATGGCTAGAGGAGGAAGATGATGGTTTTCTGTTTTGATTGACATGCTTGAGTTACCTGTGTATGTCCTTTACCATGATGCATCTGATGTTAATAATTTTGCATGTCTAATCTCGCATTGGCATCAGATGGCATATAGGGGTTTTTCCAAAATGTTCACTCAGATGACAGTCTGTTTTGCTGTGCATTACCAAACTGAATATGTTCTAAGATATGTTTGAGTAGAAAGATGGGGATTATGAAAGGATTGCTAGGGAAGAGCCAACTGTATGCATTGTTTGGAGTGGGGTGTGCCTTCGTCTCAATACAGGTGGAGGTCCCAGTGCATGGTTAGGAAATGGGTGCATGTAGCTCAAGCCAAGAGAGTCTTGGATTGCTAAGCTTTCCCTATGCTTTCCTGCCTCAGTGTTTTAACTTTACATTTTAAAATGTGATATTCTTCACCCAACATTCTACACTCTCCTTGTCTCTTTCTCTTATTGGCAGCCGGTTAGAAGACAGTCCCTTACCCCTCCTCCTCAGAACACTATCACGTGGGAAGAATACATATCTGCTGAAAATGGAAAGTAGGTGGTCTTTTGGTTTATGTTTTCTTTGGATCTTAGGAAGCAAAATTTGTTAAAACAGTCTATTTAGATACCAGAGTTTTGAGAGCGTATTATTCATCTATTTTTATCTGAAGCTATTTAAGAAATATAAAGCAAGCATGAGAAAGAAACCTCCCAAATTGTGTGTGCACTGTGAGTCTAGAGCCTTCTTTTTACATCCCTTCTGTCAATCACACACACCAACCAACAAGCAAGAACCAAGCAAAAACTTGTAGGACTTGGTCTAAGAGAGTGCTGCTTTTCAGCTTCCCTTGTCTGGCAGAATGCTCTTAGCTGTGCTGATGCTTTAGCCATCCAGTTTGTTTCCTGTCTGACTTTGCAAGCTTTGTCTTGTCATCATTCATTTCATTGATTTCTCAGCATCCTTCCATAAACCTTTACTTACTGCTATATCACTAACTCTTGGAGAGGAGTAGGCACAGCATTGCTGTTCCTTATACATGTATTGACGATGGGTGAATGAAAAACGGTTATTTTGAATGAATGGATGTTTATTTTGGTTCACCCATGTTTCCTTTTGGTGGAGAAAAAAAAATAGCCCCCTTTACACCTGTCCCTCCCACCCACTCCACTGTGCTCAGGAAGAAGCTGCCTTGTTCTTTCCTTATTTAAAGGCATGCTATATGCTGTGATCAGAGGTTTTCCATGTTCTGTTCTAGTGTTGAAGTGTTGGATGGACATACTTTTTACAGTGTTGGGCCTAGCCTTTTTATGAGTGACCATTATTTTGATAATTAGATGCCCCAGCAGGTCAGAGGAAACCATCATGTAGTCACTTGTGACATGTGCCAGATAGTTCAACAGCACTTTGAAACAGGGCAGGAAAGCCCAGTCACACAACTCAATGGTATAAGGAAGGTCTCCTCTAGATTAATTCTGCAAGAGAAATAATTTTGAAATAATTTCTGCTTTCTTCAACTCAGCCTTGTCTGCTCAGCTCATTCTGTGTGAACAGAATGAGTTTTTGCCTCAGTGTAGTCACACACACCAAAAGAATGAGTTTTAAATGTGTTATAATTTTAACAATGCTATGTACAGAATTCTTTAATCACAGTGCTTTTTATTGTTGAATGTTGAGACTGTAGTAGTAGACAGTGAAAGAGATTTTTATTTTCAGTGATTTTCTTTGTTACTAAAAACAGTGTTTATTATTAAAATTGTTTTTATTCAGTATGAAATTCCCTGAGTATTGACATTTGTTCCTGAACTTTTAAACTCTTTTTTTTTTTTTTCATCTCATTTCTTATATACGTTTTGTTTTTAGCATAATAATATTTCTGTAGACAGGGTAAGACCAGTGGAAGTATTAGTGAGTATTGATTGAGAGTGATGAGTTCTTAACCAGACTCCCTAACAGTGTTCTTTCTATTGCAGGGCACCACACCTGGGCAGAGAACTGGTGTGCAAAGAGAGCAAGAAAACATTTAAAGCCACTGTAGCCATGAGCCAGGAGTTTCCCCTGGGAATTGAGTCGTAAGTGCACTGTTGATTACAAAAGGTCCTGACAGGCACTTGTATTTGTATCTGAGGTGCTGAAATGTGAAAAAAGCAGACAGATCTTGGCTCAAGGGTGTATGTACCTGCCCATAAATTTTCTGTTATACAAACATATCATTTTTCTGTAGATAAATTTTGAATAGTCTAAAGAAAATTATTAAAGCAATACATGCTCGTAAAAAAAAACTCAAAGCATAGACATTTGTGGAATATGAAGATATTTTGTTTCAGCACATTAGTTCTGTCTTGTTGACTATGCTTGTGAGTGCAGAGCCCAAGAATGGTCCAGATTTTGCCACACAAGTTTATGTGCTTTATGAGCCAGAGTGTCTTGGATTCCAACAGTAATCACGTTTGTCTTTTTTTTTTTTCCTTTTTCCCTTTTTCTTGGAATTTGTAGTGCTGACCTTCTGTCATTTGTTTTTGTTGTTCTTTTATTGATAAACATTCTGTTTTCAGTTTGTCCATATTGAAAACTGTACTGAGATGCACACCTTGAATATACCCTTCCAGGTCCACCTACACCAGATACTTCTTTAGAAACATTGAGTTTGGAGAGATGAATAGATGGGAGGTGGGTACTCAACTCACTCTAGATGGGCTGTGCTCTTGGCTCCTTATGAAAATGTAGCTGGACAGGAGTTGAAGGACCCAGTTATTATTATTTTTCCCTAATTATTCCCCTTTCAACCTAGCCCAATACACTGACTTTTTTTTCCTAGAGAAGAGAGCAGGGTCTATGATTTTCAACAAAATCTGTTCACACTCCCTGCTCTTGTCACCCTCAAGCTTTAGAAGGGTAGTAGGTTGTTGTATAGAGCATCTGTAAGCTAGAGGTCACACATGGGAAGAAGCTGGAGGCAAATGTGAGAAGGGAGTTAGCAAACATGGGAAGATATCTCTGATTCCTAATAAAGGGATGCAGCTGATTTTATAGTGTGCTTGGAGTTAACTCCAGAAATCCTTAAGACATGAAAAATAGGTGTATTAGTACATAGATAATTATGAACACTGTCCTAGGAAAAGGAAATCAAGGAATACTGCATACAGAAAATAGACAATCCACTCTACAACAGAAGAAACTTCCTGTTGCTACTGTGGAAAAACACATCAAGAACATAAAATCATTGTTAACTAGATCACTCCTGAGATGAAGGACAACAGAATGAAATGAAGAAGGGATGGAAAGGCCAAAGGAATACTAAACTGAACAGAGAACAGCAGTGTCACAAAACAAATACATCACCGATAGTTGATGAGAATAAATGTGGCTGAAATTAAATTTTGACAGCAGATAAAGTGTCAGAGACATGTCTGAGTACAGAAATGGCATCCACTTACTAGCCTCCAAGTATGGCTAGTGTTCAAGATGTGATAGACATGTCTCTGTAGGAACATTGATTCCAAATGGGTACAGAACAGTCACCATAGAAAATTACCCCTTTAAATTACAAGGTTTCTTTGGTTTGATAGGACCTTATTCTAGCCCAGACTTTCCTGGAACTCTCCTAGTCGTCATGCTTCAGGTTCCTGAGTATTTTGGGATCATGTGAATTTACAGATTTGAGCTACTCCACCTAGTTTCAAATAAATAAACTTTTGGATTTTGTTTCTTTGTATTTTTTTTGGTAGTGCTACAGATTGAAACTAGGACCTTGCTTATATTGGACAAATATTCTACCATGGCCTCTTTTTGTAGTTGAGCTTTCAGTTATTAGGAAACAAATTCAAGTTATTTGGGTAGAGAAAGCATAGACGTTACCCACCCATAGTTTTTGACACATAGGAAAGGGGTAAATTATGCTCAGGCTATTTGTGAGACTGAGGCAGGAGGATCAGAACTTCAAGGCCTTCCCGGACAAGTTAGCGTGACATTATATGTCTCAAGAATTTTTAAAAAGTACTTGGATCTTATAAGCTCAGCTTATAAGGTAAGTACTGGCCTTGTATGCATGAGATCTTGGAGCCAACTCTCAGTCCCAGAAAAAAAGTAAGGTAAAGGAAAATAGTGTGATCTATGTGTGTCCAGCTGTTGCTTACTCAGTAAAGGAAAGCAGTGATTTAATTTGTGTTTAGCTGTTGCTTACACAGGCACTAGAAGATATCTCCTGTTGAAAGAAAAATAATAGTAGGTGTTAGAATAACTCAACCAGAGGATCAGAGGAGCTGTTGTGTGACTCTGTGACACAGCAAACTGAAGAACCCGTGAATTGAAGCAGGATTGATTGTGTGATCTGAAATTTATGTGAGCGAGCCAGGATCATCAGTATTATGATTAACCCTTCTACCCTGATAGTGAAGCTCAGTCATGAGAATAGAAGAAAATAGATGAACTTCAGCCTTGCATCCCAGAAGGATTGAGGAGTTAATTTGCCTCAGCTGATCTGGTTTGAGCTGTGCAGTTCAAGAACAACCTTAAGGACCTGAACCATGAAAATATTATTCTTTCATTTTCAGATTATTGAATGTTCTAGAAGTAATAGCACCCTTCAAGCACTTTAACAAGCTTAGAGAATTTGTTCAAATGAAGCTTCCTCCAGGCTTTCCTGTAAAATTAGGTAAGACAAAATTTAGGTGTAATTTTAGTGTTTGTTTTTTTTTTTTAAATTCAAATTTCATAAGGTATATATTTTAAAGGCCAATGCATATACCAATTGCTTCATTTTTATTAAGTTTTTTTATTATTATTTAAGTGCATTGGTGTTTCTGTGTTGTTACGTGTATAAAATGCCTGAGAAATACAGCACCTGATCCAAGTTTTGATTTCTATGTGATTTAAATGAAATGAAATATAAAGGACATGGGAGCACCTCATGCAGGAGAGTGAGTGTGAACATTTAAGTCACTAAAATAAAGAAGCACAGATATACATAATGAAACAAAGAGATGCAGACTGCACAGCACCAGTAGGAGGGATTTAAGAAACCTTTGCACAGAGGGATAGTTGACACACTAGTTCCTATCCAAATTGCAGGAAACAGATCATTTAGTGTTTGCATGGGAAGTCAGGAAGTAGAATTCCGCATTAGTTTACTAGGCTTTTCCTAGCAGTTGTCAAGAGTGCCTTCTGCAGCAACTACCACTGTCCAGTAGTTATGGAGCTAGAGTATCAGACCAGCATTGTCATCAGGGTGATAATTTTGCTGACTTCTAACCTGGTACCTCTTGAGCTTCAACAGATTCCCACATGCTGAGAAGAGGCTTCGGTTTCTGATGTTCTTTCTCAGGGAGGAGGGGACAATATGGGGTGGAAACGGACACAAGGACTACCTGGTGATTGTTGGGTTGATGTCCTGCAGACACCCTAAGAGGGTGGAATTGGGTCATAACAGCTGAACTGTTGTGACAAAGACTCAGTCATAATGTATTACCAATTATTCCCCATGGGTTGATCCTAACTCTGTCTCCAGCACTGCAGATGTGTGGTGCAGGTATGCACGTGGGCAGAGGGACCAGAAGTTCCTCTAACACACTCTTGGTCCAACAAAGGCACTTCGGTATAGGAAAGATAGTTTTTTCTAATACACGTGGTGAGAGTGGTGGGACTTCTATAAACAGAAACAGCCAGCCAGAGTGTGGTGGCCCACACCTTTAATCCCAGCACTCAGAGACAAAGGCCGGTGGATCTCTAAGTTCGAGGCCAGCCTGCTCTACAATGTGAGTTCCAGGACACCAAAACCTTGTCTCGAAAAACAAAACAATAACAGACCAAAAAAAAAAAAAAAAAAAAAAAAAAAAAAGAAAAAGGAAAGCAAACAAGCCTTCCCTTAGTTTACATTGAAGTTAAAGGTCATAGTCTTAAATGTGAAATATAAAATTATTAAACTTTCTATAGAAATGGGCAAACCTTTAAAAGAAATCTGAGTGCTGGGTTAGGAAAATTCTTACAATCCATACAAAAGAGTTTGGTCAGAAGGCCTGAGTTTGAGTTTGCTGACTCCTGTGAGACTGTGTCTCCAACAATAGGCAGCAATGGAAGCTGGAAGCTCCAGAGTGCCTGTGGTGATTGTTTCATTAAAGCTTTCCCTCCTGTTTCTGGCCGGAGAATATTCTGCAGACAAAAATACTAAGTGTATAAAAGCAACTTTACTGTTTCTCACCTTGGGTAGACTCTTTGGCTGGATAGACCCACTTCAGAGGTGTTCATGAATGAAATCTGAGGCCTCTGAGTAAAGGGGGTTAGGAATAAGACCAGCTTCTGCCTGGCCTGTGTGGTTTCCAGGAACTCAGGGAGAATCAAATGAGCAGAGCAGGTGAACATACCTTATAGATTCACTTACCATTTGGGCCAGAAACTTTTATATTATTGTCATGTTCAAGTAATATGATGTTATCCAGTGGAGGAGGTGTCACTTGAAGTAAAGATGTCAAGATTTAAGAAATCAAGGAGATGTGCCTCTATGGAAGCCAGAGCAGGCTAGGAAGCAGCTGCAAGGGCCCCAGGCCCCAGAGCCTTGGAACCCACTGCGCAGGCTAGGGTGGGTACGAATTGGGTCGCTCTGGAAGTGTGGTTGGGAGAAGGAATGTGGCCACCTCGAACGGGTTGTCACAGATAGGCATCTGACAGCATCTCACCATTTGTTCTCCAGACATCCCCGTGTTTCCCACGATCACAGCCACTGTGACTTTTCAGGAGTTCCGATGTGATGAGTTTGATGGCTCCATCTTTGCCATCCCTGAAGACTACAAGGAAGACCCGAGTCGTTTTCCTGACCTTTAACTGATCCAGAAGAGCAAGAGGCTCCAGGTGGCAGAGACAGAGCTTCTGTAAGCAGAGGGTCGACACATCAGTGATGTGATGAGAAACCTCTAATAAACGTCCGAAGCTTCCTGATGTGCCATTCATCTTTTTAAAGTCACTTCCTGTCTGTAATAGTTTGACACCCAGTGACCCTGAGACCTTCTTATGTAAAGCAGCTGTGAGTGCTGTGATTTGTTTTTAAAGATTTTTACACTTCCTGTTGAAATATATATGCATATAAATATATCTATAGCTATATCTAAAACACTCCTGGACCATTAACGTAAAATCAGTGTCTTAAGAGATATGAAACCCCTTGAAATGCGTCACCTCTATCCAGGGTGGCATGTATAAATGTTCCTTTAAACTTTGTTTTCATTATTATGTATAGTTCTGTAATTTGAATGTTCAGTGAACTAGAAGGAAATGAGTTTTCTGAGGTGAACAGAGCAATGGCAACCATCAGTCGCATTTACAGCCTGCTGCAATACATTCCAAGGAAGCACTCCCTGTAGGGAATGTGGTGCCCTGCCCCCCCAGCACCTCGGTAACAGTTGCATTTTCAGCTGCAATGCATTCCCTGAGGGAGTGCTCCCTACAGGAAATGCGGTGCCCCCAGCACCTTCATGCAGCTCATCGTGGTGCTCTTTGTTTTACCTGAATCTTTTTTCAGTGGAAACTGTTTGTTACTGATCTTCCTTTGATAGAACCTCTTTTTTTTGTTTGTTTGTTTTCTAAACTTGAGTTTAAAGGTTCTTGTTCTGTTGATAGGTACGGTAACATGCTTACAGCTAGCCCTCTCCCAAGTATCAGCACTTTAAAACAAATTCCAAATTTTTAAACTTGCTTCCTAGTAAGTGCACATAAGTCAGATTATTTTTAATGGAATATGGATGCATTGGTGTCAATTTTAAAAAATACCTATTTTGGACAATTATGTATGTAATGCTTTCAAAATAAGGTAAAAACATTTTATATGCTACAATATATTTGTTATAAGCTAAAAGTCCAGAAACATGCAAGATTGACAGTTCTTATTTTTTTCTTAAGTCACAGGAAAATATTTACTGATTTCTGTCTCCAAAGTGTTAAAATCATGCATTACTCATTTTTGCACTTAAAAATTTTTCATATTTATTGCAAGATGGTTTGAAGGTCCAAGAATGAAAATAAATTAGGGAGACTAATGTCTAAGTCATAAAGTATCATGTTGTATTAAAGACTTAGCTAAATGTTTATAAATGTGTCCTGATGAAATGTGTCAAGGATGCACCTGTCAGGTTGTTATAGAGTGACCTGTAGTTTAAACTTTTACCAAAATTTTAGAGACTTTTATTAAATAAGAGATGACTTATTTAAAAATCCAAAGCATCAGCCATCAGATATTTATCTCTCTATGATTACATTTCACATAGTGATACCACCTTGCATATATTAACATTTTATTACTTTTTATAAGAAAAATAATCAAGAGTTAAAAATTCAAAGCCCTAATCACTCCAGTAAGATAATTTTAAGAATTTGGAAGCCCAGAGCTAGCCTGGTGGAATGAAGGTTTGGTCCCTGGCATTCAGACAACGGCTGATCCAGTGACTTAGCTACTGAGGTGTTGTCAGTGGTGAAGTCTGGGGTTCTGAAAGGCAGTGACCACTGTTGCTGAGACCAGGTAGGAAAAAACAATAAATTGCAGCTTCAGACGTAGAATTTCTTAACATGTGAATATTTTGCTGGGTTACACTGGAGACAGGTGGACTACTGAAAATTGTTGCACTGGATTGTACTACTGAAAATTGTTGCACTGGATTGTACTACTGAAAATTGTTGCACTGGATTGTTTTAAGACTTCAATTTTTCTTTAATGAATAGTAGAATCAGATTGTCCATTCCAAAATGTCTTTTCTCTGATCACAAAGAACAAATGCATCTCTTATGATGGTGGGAAAAAAAAGGAGTTAATAATTAATGCAAATAAACTTTTCACAGTATTAGATTTTCATGATGTGCCTTTTAATCCTGTTAATGAAATTAAGATCAATTTTTTTTATAATCTTACATGCAGATTACTGTTTTTGAAATGTAGGTATGTAAAATTATGTGTTGCAATTTTTTTTTTTTTTTTTTGTTTTGTTTTTCAAGACAGGGATTCTGTGTAGCCCTAGGTGTCCTAGAACATACTCTGTAGACCAGGCTGGCCTTGAACTCACAGAGATCCACCTGGCTCTGCCTCCCGAGTGCTGGGATTAAAGGCGTGCGCCACCACCGCCCGGCAATGTATTGCAAATTTTAAAAGTTTAAGTTAGTAGTAGGGGTGCCATTCAGGAAGGTGTGATAGTACCTCATCACTTAGGTGACATCTGAGATATGGTTCCCATCTTCAAGAAACCATTCATGAGACTTGTCCTTACTATACATTCTTCCGCAAAGAGCTGCAGTTTTGTATACTGGAGCTTAACAATCATCAGAGAAGGCTGCATCCAGCAACTGATAGGGGCAGATGCAGAAACTCACAGCCAAACATTAGGCAGAGCTTGGGGAATCAAAGGGGGAGGAAGGATTTTAGGAGCCAGAGGGGTCAAGGACACTACAAGAACATGGCCCACAGATTCAATTAACTAGGGCTCATAGGGGCTCACAAGAGACTGAAGTGACGGTCAGGAGCCTGTATGCATCTAGTTCCTCTGCATGTACTAAGTTATGGTTGTATAGCTTGGTCTTTTTGTGGGACACTGGGTGGGAGTGGGGGCTTTCTTTTGCTTGCTTTTGGGACTCTCTTGATATGAGGGTATAGGCCTGGTTTTATTGTAACTTGGTTGATACCCCGAGAGCCTGCTCTTTTCTGAAGGTAAAGGAGCAGTGGATCTGGGGGAGAGGGGAGGTTAGGGAAAGGCTTGGAGGAGAGGAGGAGAAGCTGCAGTAAATAAAAGCAGTGTACAGCAGGTATCATGGCTGAGTTAAGTACATGTTGATGGTTGGAAGCCTACATGATTATTAGCTAATAGCAAGCAGCTGAAGGCAAAACTAAAGCCCATGAATAAAATTGGATTTTCAAGTCAAGTGCAGTGGTACATGCATGTAGTCCATTCGAACTATCTGGGAAACTGAGGCAGCAGGATCAAGTGGTTAGAAATGTACCACTTTGGTTTCGTGCTTGCCTTGTCTGAGATGTTAGGTTCAACCTCTCCTTTCCACTAAGTCTACAGAAGACAGATCTAGTTGAGTACAGAAAGACTGGAGAGTGGACCACTTTGCAGACAACTGTAGCAGGAATCTTAAAGAGTCTTATTAATAAAATGAAACCTGTGGCCAGTTATTGGGGCGAATGCTGGAAGGTCAGAGAAGCAGAACAAGCCACAGCTAACCTCACCTGGCCAACTCCTCAGCTGGTCTTGTTTCCTCAGACTGGAAGCTTTTGTGTCCTCATTCCAATGGCTCTCAGCTGAACTGCTGCTCGAAAGCCTGAAGGTTAACCAGCTAAAAGCATCTAGTTTCTGGTCCTCATGCCTTATATACCTTTCAGTTTTCTACCACCACTCTCTGGGATTAAAGGCTCGCTTTGTGGGATTAAAGGCGTGAGTCACCATGCTTGGCTATATCCTTGAACACATGGATTTCTGCCTCTGGAATGCTAGGATTAAAGGCGTGTGCTACCACTGCATATCCTAAATATCTAGTGGCTTTTCTGTTCTCTGACCCCAGATAAGTTATTTTGGGGAACACAATACCACCACAGACAACTAACCATCAAATTTGTCCATGGAGAATTGGACAGGAAGTAATCACAAAGCTAGCAAAATGAAGCTCAGCCAAAACCATGATTTGGTAAACTATGAAGCTGCAGGTTTATAAAAACATTTGCGTGCCAGAAACCTCAGACAGCATTAGCTGTCACCTACAAGTTTCACAGCATGTCAGCAGCCAATTTTTAGATCTCACTGCACAATAG